TATTCTAATGAGGCATAAATGTTTCTACACGTTTTTTAGCCAATTTGCTAGAAGTTTCGGTAAGAAATGAATTTGAAAAAGTTGCGACAGCTTTTTCAATCGAATTCTTTGTAGCAGAGGAAGTTTTTTTTGATGGCACGAACATCTAATTCTATGTTCTTTGTTTTCCATCCCATCTCGTCTATTGGGTCACGCCAGAAGTCCTTATCTTCCCGTCAATTTCCTAGTGCCTATCATTCGACCTTTAAACTTTTAACTGGAATATTTCGTGAAAGTGTCTCAATTTTACATTCGAGGAATAAGCTCTTTGAGAAAGTGTGCAGTTAGAAAGTTACTTCGGTTATATTCTTGCTTCTTATTCCTTTCTTGTTAAGCTTTTAACAAAATTCTAAAGATTTTAAAAAAGAATAAATGTCTGTTTGTATCTACTGAATAGTTTCCAATGCTGCAAATGCTTCCACTTATTCCCATGTACAAGAACGTAATTTTATTCTCATTACTAGGACTAAAAGAACATTCTTCAATTTGGAATTCGAATAAATTCTGCTTTTTCCTTTCCTTTATCGATCCACCCATTTCGGGAAAATGCAGCCATTGTTTGCCTAATGTCGTATTGCCATAGCATTATGTTTCCATCAAATACTTTGCTTCCAGGAATTGTTTAAGCTCGTGAAGGGTTTTCTAACCCTTCCCTCATGGACTATATTTCGAGTTTTGACATTCGACTAGCTAAAGAGATCTACTATGCCGGTGAGAAGATCAGTGGAAACGTTTTACTGGAAAACACCGAGAATATCAAAATAAAAGGTTTGTGCTTTGCTTTTAGTCTCTTTGATCTTGAGCCGAACAACAATAAGCAACCCAGAAGAGGCTCATTTTCGACGCTATTCATGTTTGCGAGCCGATTACCACATGCAATGCGGCATTAGCCGAAAATTCGTTATGCATTAATGGATTTTTAGGAATTCGAGTACTCCTTCGTGGAAAAGTGCATGCGACATTGAAGGTGGTCAAATCCGGTGAGAGAAGGACCATTAAGGATGATCAATACGTGCTTGATGAAAAAATGCTCATCTGGGGCAAAGGTCTGTTTTTCTGAACAAAACCATTCCATACTCGAAATTTCAAAGAATCGATTGCAGACGTTAATGAGAAAAATGGCATCCAGTACTTGTGATTTAGAGATAAATGGCGACAAGTGACAAAAAAAGCTTGCAGGCTTTTGGCACTTCCACATCCTTTCCACCATTCTTTTTTTGGCCATGGAGAGGATACTTCCTTACTTTTGCTTAGGCAAAATTTCGCATAACATACCCAGAAAGTAGTACTTTCTTACTAAAGTCTTAAACGTTATTGACAGTCAGGATGGCACACATCCAGGAAAACTCTCTTCAAGGATCATTTACATAACAAAATACTT